CCTTCCTTCCTTCCTTCCTTCCTTCCTTCCTTCCTTCCTTCCTTCCTTCCTTCCACAACAAAATTGAGAGGAAGGTATTGAAATTTTCCGTATACCTCCTGCCCCTACACAAGCATAGCCTCTCCCATTTTCAACATCACTCACTAGAATGGTACATTTTTTACCAAAGGTGAATGTACACTGACATATCATAATCAACAAAGTCCACCCTTGTTTCTTTGTAGTAAATCTTCTTTTTCATAAATGAGACAGAGAACATTGTTTTTGCAACCAATGATCACTAATTTATATACCGAGTTTAGATTTTTCTTGGCAGAAATAAGCCAGTGGGTGTGTATGAGGCAAAGGAATAACACAGATTTGTGTTTCAGAAAGATCTTTGGCTGCAAAAAGGGTTTGTGGGAGATGATGAAAGGCTCTAGCATTGGTCTGGGCAATGGAGAATGAGAACCCGAATTCAGGGAGCAGAGGTGAGGATGGGAGGAGGAGTGGGTCTAAGGGGTCCTTGGGAAGTAGAATTGATAGGACTTCATATACTGAGCTGTGGGATCCCAGGGAAGAAAGAGTTAAGGGCAGTCCTTAGTTTCCAGCTTAATGAATTGAAGAAATTGCAAAGTTGTTAACAGAGAAAGCAAAGAGAGAATCACATTTTGGAAGATATGAAGCTCAGTTTTAGACACACTTAGCATTTGAGAAGCCTGAGGCAACATCCATTGACACTTTATTCCTGGAGGTCAACAGATGATTTAGAATAGAATGAGTTATAGGTTGTATCCACTTGACTGCATTAGAGTCTAGAAAGAGTTTAGCATGAGAAGATAAGAGAGACAACAGAATGCAGGGAACACTTAGCATTGATTGGCCAGACAAGGCACTCAAGCCAGACAAGCATCTGAGAAGGAATGGTCGGAGGGGTAGAGGGAGAGCCAGGAGGGAGGGAGTCATAGACACTCGAGGAGATCTTTAAGCAGTTAGGAATGACCATGAGGGTGAAATTGTGCACTGCGATTAAGTAAGATGAAAGTTGAACATAGTTAGTAGTAGTTGATATTTGAGGCTTTGTTTCTTTTTTAAAGAGATCAGTTTCATGAAAATGGAAGTGTAATGGTAATAAGATGCAGTCATCTTGGGTGAGGACTGACTGCTTGGTAAGGAAGTAGGCAAAGCAAGAGACAGCTACCCTCTCTGAAAGTTTGGATTGGAAGAAAAAGAGACAACTGGGCAGAGCTTAAGGATGAAAAGAGGTAGAAGACTGATTGTAAAACTGATTTTAATTCTTTATTCCTCCCTAAAGCCACACTCTTTGTGATGGGGCTTTGCAGCCCCTCCCATCAAGAGTAGCATCTATTTCCTTGTTCTCAGGCTGGTCTTGTGACTTGCTTTTGCCAAAAAAATGAGGCAGAAGTGATACTGTGCCAGTATGAGAGGCCTTGTGTATTTCTCTGTCTCTTGGAATGCTGCCTGGCTCCATGAGAATAGGTCTGTGCTGACTTGATGACTAAGTGATCAGTGGCCCAGTTAGCGGTTTCACCATAACTAATAACCTGCGAATTGCCAGGCATGTGCATGAGAACGTCCTTGACTAGTCTTCCCAGCTGACCCACCCGCTGAGGGTCCTCATGAGGGTATGCAGGCAGTGCTCAGGCCCGGCTGCAGTCAGGGGAGCCTGGCCCAGCTCTATATTATTGTCCAGATGACTCATCCATTTGGGAGTAATAAACATGCTTTTGATTTTAAGCCACTGTTTTGGGATACTTTGTAACCCATCAATAGCCACTGGATTCCGATCATTGGAGAGTTTCCATTACCCTGCTTTAACATGTAGGAGATTTGAGCATATCTGCACATTGTGGGAGAGAATACAGAATTGAGAAGATTCAAGAAAGAGGGTATAAATGATGGGAGAAGGGAATGTCACCAAAAGCCAGCAGCTTAGCTTGGAAAGAGGCAGAGGACCTTCTCTGCTTTCGAGATAAGAGAAGAGACGCGGGCTGGAGCAGGATGTTCTGGACTGAAAATCAGCGCATCACTGGGCCCTTAGCCCTAAACTGTGAGTCAGGTGGTAGCTTCTCCAGCTGCGTCCCTGGACCTGCTCACATTTAACTTCCAACCGAAAATTAATGCCCCAAACTCAGACATTTCTACAACTGTTAAAGCTAAAAGGAGTGTCTGAGACAGATTTCCTTCTGTTTTCACTGGCATGTCAAATGTCACAGTGACAGCAAAGGAATAATCTTCAGTTGTGTATAATGAGGTCTGAAATTTCCATCTCCACACCTTAATCATGAAACTTATTTCACTAGATAAACTGACAGCAGAGTCTCAGGTACTTAAACAAAAGTTTGAGAAAAAAACACAACTGCCCACATCTGTGTTTTTTTTTCCTGTTGCCACTTTTATGGTCCAGTTATTTTGTCTATATGCACTTGTTTCCAGTTTTGTCTGGATTCCTCAACAGCCAGATTATTCCTTCATCCTAGACAGATACTCCTCTATCCTGGAAAACGACTAAGTAGAAAGACAATTGGTTTGGATGACAGAAAAACTGAGTTCTGGGCTTGACTTTGTTATTAACTAGCAAATTTTTCTAGACTAAGTTACTGAATGCCACTTTCCTCATCTTAAGAACGTATTCATCCAGCAAATATTTATTGAATATTTACATGTGCCAGGCTCTGTTGTCAGTACTTAGGATACATCGGTGAAGAAAAACAGACTCATGTCCTCAAGGAGGCTCCATTCTGGGGGAGTCAGATGATGGAAACAAATGCAATGGACAGGACGGTTATACCAGATGGCAGGTGATGAAAGTGCCATGAAAAAAATTAGAAGCCAAGTGGGGCTGGAGGCAGGCTGCAGGTTGGGAGAAATCCCCGAGGAGATGACTGGGGAAAGGTGAAGAGGTTTCCATGAGGGCATCGGGAGGAAGATGTTGCAGACAAAGTCTCTAACAGTATTTCCTCAGTCTTTGTTTTCCTTCCACACTCCATTTCTGCTTGTTGACCTCAGGGAAGGTTTAGAACTCATACAACCTTAGGGCCAGTCTTCCATGCTATTCCATACATTTCTTTGAACAGCTAACAAACAACCACCTGTTCCCTATGAGTTAGCCCCATTGGCACTTGGAGCAAGGACCTGCTGGTTGCATTTCCTTTCAGGGACCTCTGTGTGGTACGTTCTTGCCACTCAGAAAGCTAGCTCTGTGCTGTGCCAGACATCACATGGCTATTTCTTGCCTGCTCTGCACAGGGCAGTGAAGCCAACAAATGTAGCTTAAAAAAGACATAGCTCTTGGTAGGGAAAATATTTCTGAGTGTTTTCAGTGTGCCAGGTGTTTTGCATGCTTTATTTCCCCTAATCCTTCTGCCTTTCTAAGGTTAGCATTTTTCCATTTTGCAGGTCAGGAAACAGAGGTTCAGAGAGTCTGGGAGATTTACCTATGGTCACATAAGTAGTAAGGTTCATAGTCAGAATTTGATCCCCAAGTGCATGTACTTTTAACTATACTGCACAGCTTCTTGTCTTCCTCTGTACCCTTTAATATGTTTATATATATTCATATATGACAACAAGAGTCATTTATTTTAAGGCATAGCGCATGGCGGTCAAGAGCTTGGGCCACATCATAGCTGTGTGAGCATGGCATGGCACTTAACTTTCTGAGCCTCCATTTCCTATTTGTACAATATGTATAATATGGATATCCAAATCATAAAGTTGGGAGGATTCGGTGAAACAATTCATATAAAGTATGTAGCATAGTATCTCTTACATAACTGTTATGTGTTAACAATTATTCTCATATTTTTTATGGATTTTTTTTAAAGGCACGTCTATATATTCCGCTACCTCTGGACGGCTCAGGGTCTGGGAAGCTGAAACAAGCCTACTTACTTTTCACTTCGATTATTTGTATCCTCTGTTATGCTTATGTGTTGAGACATATGATATTACTTATTCAAGGAAACATTATTTTAAAGAAATGCTGTTATTATCATTGTAAGGAATTTGGAATAAGGAAACTATTGGTGGGGTAGATGGATTTGGAGGTTTCTTGGAGGAGACTGACTGAGCAGGGCCTCAAAGTGGGTACAGAATTTTGATTCAGAATGAAAAACTGGGGGGCATTATCAGTGAAAGATTCTTGCAAAGTGGAGCATAAAGACGGGAAAGAGTACTCAGTGAATACAGTCTGTTCAGTGGTAATTGTTTGGTGGTGTGTGGCAACTAATCCAGGTGATTAGAGAGAGAGTATTTTCCCAATACCTACTGTGGAGAAAAGAGGGCATGTGTGAAAAAATGCCAAAACACTCCACCTCAAACCCCAAAATTGAGAAAGATTGCTGGTTGAGGCCAATTCCAAGAGCCCTGCTGCCAGAATTATTCTGGGTCATCAATCCAAATGGAGCTGGAGGAACCTCTGACACCCCCTCTCTCTGCCTGCAGGTCAGCTGTCTCCAGTCCTGAGGTCATCACTCATCAGAGGGGATAATCCCAAGGACAGCAGGATCTGCTTCGTCACTTGGATTTAGGAGCAAGAAACCCATCAGGCAACTAAACAGTAACAATGACCCACATTTAAACACACTGAGAGAAGAGCAGGAGGAAGAGATTGTGCAAGAATCCAGGAGCTCTTGCTGACAATGCCTATGGAGACACTGATCACTGTGCGCTCCATCCATTGAACTGTAGTAAAAACTCTCCCTCCCCCTCCCCCCCAGAGACATTTGGATGTGGGCACAGCATCAGTTCAGACAGTGGTCTATCTTTGGATCTGGCCTGGGGAGGGCAGGGAGACCTGGGTTTGAATTGGTATTCTGCCACTTCTTTGTAGTATGGTTTGGCAACATTTTAAAATCTCTCCGAGTCTCAGTTTTCTTGTCTACAAAATAAAGCTAATACCTACACAGGAGCTTTTAAAAGGATCAAATGCAACAGAGTCTGAAAAACACAAGTTAGGCCCTTCTCTTTATGGAGAAAGAGAAAGGTGTGGGGCCAAAAATGATATGCTTATGTGTTGAGACATATGATATTACTTATTCAAGGAAACATTATTTTAAAGAAATGCTGTTATTATCATTGTAAGGAATTTGGAATAAGGAAACTATTGGTGGGGTAGATGGATTTGGAGGTTTCTTGGAGGAGACTGACTGAGCAGGGCCTCAAAGTGGGTACAGAATTTTGATTCAGAATGAAAAACTGGGGGGCATTATCAGTGAAAGATTCTTGCAAAGTGGAGCATAAAGACGGGAAAGAGTACTCAGTGAATACAGTCTGTTCAGTGGTAATTGTTTGGTGGTGTGTGGCAACTAATCCAGGTGATTAGAGAGAGAGTATTTTCCCAATACCTACTGTGGAGAAAAGAGGGCATGTGTGAAAAAATGCCAAAACACTCCACCTCAAACCCCAAAATTGAGAAAGATTGCTGGTTGAGGCCAATTCCAAGAGCCCTGCTGCCAGAATTATTCTGGGTCATCAATCCAAATGGAGCTGGAGGAACCTCTGACACCCCCTCTCTCTGCCTGCAGGTCAGCTGTCTCCAGTCCTGAGGTCATCACTCATCAGAGGGGATAATCCCAAGGACAGCAGGATCTGCTTCGTCACTTGGATTTAGGAGCAAGAAACCCATCAGGCAACTAAACAGTAACAATGACCCACATTTAAACACACTGAGAGAAGAGCAGGAGGAAGAGATTGTGCAAGAATCCAGGAGCTCTTGCTGACAATGCCTATGGAGACACTGATCACTGTGCGCTCCATCCATTGAACTGTAGTAAAAACTCTCCCTCCCCCTCCCCCCCAGAGACATTTGGATGTGGGCACAGCATCAGTTCAGACAGTGGTCTATCTTTGGATCTGGCCTGGGGAGGGCAGGGAGACCTGGGTTTGAATTGGTATTCTGCCACTTCTTTGTAGTATGGTTTGGCAACATTTTAAAATCTCTCCGAGTCTCAGTTTTCTTGTCTACAAAATAAAGCTAATACCTACACAGGAGCTTTTAAAAGGATCAAATGCAACAGAGTCTGAAAAACACAAGTTAGGCCCTTCTCTTTATGGAGAAAGAGAAAGGTGTGGGGCCAAAAATGAAACAATGAATGCTATTCTCAAAATTATCCTTTTTCCTTGGCACTCATCTCAGAATGTATGCTTGTGTCTTTAGTTCAAATACCAGGGAAAAAAGAGAGAGAGAGAGAAATGAGGAAAGGCAGGAAGTCAGATTCTGGCTTTTACCCAAGAAAATTCACTCAAAGTAATTTTCAGGATTACTCTCCTTCCTCAAACACTAGGGTCACAAGGCATTTTGCCAAACAAGTCAGCAGCCTGGCAGATACTTCAAACTGATTCTGAGACCAAATGACAGGTCTTTCGTGCCATATGCCACTAACACGTTAATCTAGGCAAGGATGCTAGACACCTGGGGACATCCATGCCAAAATGCCATTTAGGCAGGGCACCCCAAATCCAGTGGCAGAAGTTCATCAACACAACAGCGAGGGCAGCCAAGAAGATACAAGTAGAAAGGAAAAAGACATGAAAGGGAGGTGCAGGGTCTAAACCGTGAAAGATTTTCTGAGTTGCAGACATGTCATTGTGTTTCCAGGAGGGCTGCAACTTCCACAAAACACCAAAGCTGAGTACAGCCCACCCAAATGATGTGTATGCTACTTTTGCACCCATCATACTATGTGGCCACCAACCCCATGACCCTTCTACTCATTGGCAAATACTGGGCAATGCTCCAGTGCACCAGAGTGACCTCCTTTATCCCTGCAGTCCCACTGTGAAAAGCATGTGGCTGCTGAGCGACTCTAGTAGGTGCCCCAGTGTCAGACTTTTCAGGATCCAATTTGGTGGCAGCACTTGGAGCCTTTGGTGTCCCTCTTCCCTGTGCCCAGCCCTGTTTCTCAGTTACTCTGAGCAGTAATGAGCTTCTCCACCCCAGCATGAGGACAGGCTCACAGTCAGCACATGAAAAAGGCTGAGCTTGTGCGGGGCAACTACTTCACAGGCAGATCACACATCTGTGTTTTCCCTTCTTCTCTGATGTAACTACACTAATGACTTTTTAGAAGTAAGAATAAGGCAGGACTATTCTGGGTGGGCTTTCTGGGGGGAAAAAGTCACACAGCAGGATAACTGCAGTAGACGTCAGAAAAGGAGCTCAGAATAAAATGCCCACCCACTCCTGTCATTGGACCAAATGGTTTTCTAGGCAAAAGGATCATTCTAACTTAGGAGATCTTTATAAACAAATAGAATCACTGTCTTAGTTATTTTCTTCCAGGCAAACAAAACTTAAAAAAATCAGTTCTTCCTGCTAACATTAGTTATTTTTCATAATCAGAAGGATAAAGAGGATTAGGCCACCAAAGAATGTGAGTGTCCCCGGAGTTCTGTATGGTGAGTCGCTCAGCGTTGTCTCCGTTGGCTCTGCTGTCGAGTCTGGGCTCTGGAATAAGCCCTTGATGCAAATCCAGAGCTCTGCCCCTTTCCCATTAATGACCATTGGCAACTTCCTCAATACCCCCTGCTCCCAGCCTCTGTTTCTTTATCTGTAAACTTGCACAGAGTAGTCCCATCTGCCAGGGTTGTTATATGAGTTAGAAGAGAAGATATTTGTGTCGCAAGGAGCATACTTTCTGGCACGTGGTCAGGGCATCATAAAAGATTTGTAAGAACTGATTTTTTGCTCAGGAATAGCTTAAAGTCAGCTCCAAAGAACAGTAACACCACTCTTGATCCAAGACCCATGTTCAGCAACACCATACCTTTGCTCTGTGTACCCAGAAAACTCATCCTAAGTGAGATCCACTCTCTACCAGTTCTTAATTGGTCTCCCTGCACCATCCTTGAACCCCTACAGCCAATTCACAGAGCACTAGGGAGCTCTATATAGTATAAGATGTATCATGTCATCTTCTCAAAATCCACTGATGGCTTCCTACCTCACGATCGTGGAATCCCAAATCCTCACTCCAATGCCCTGCCTGGTCTGGGCTCCACGTACCTTCCTGATCACACTGCTCACCGCTCTCTTCTTTGCTCACCCCCTTTCAGCCATACTAGCCTCCTCAAACACACCAATCATCCTCCTGCTTTGGAACCTCTAGACTTCCTACTTTTTCTGGAATGTTATTTCCGATGTACCTGTATGGCTTGCTCCTGTATTTCATTTAGGTTTCTGTTCAAATATCACATAATCAGAGAAAGCTTCCCTGAGCATTCTTTTTAAATTCTTACCCCCTACTACTCTTACCCCCTTACTGTGCTTTATTTTCCTTCACAGAGCCTTCAAGACTTAACACAGGAAGGTTAATGTTATGAGCTCCAGTCCCCACTATGACAACTGGTACCAAGGCTATAATTGTTATTTATCATCTTCATCTTCCACCACTCATTCTGTATTTCCCTTACCCTTTGTGAACACCTCAGCTGGTCTAGGTTGCTTTCCAGGTGGGGTGACTTAGATCTGCATCTGAAAAGGGGTCTGAGTTGCATTAGCACCTTTGACGGATGTTCTGCAGTTCCTATTTGCAGTTATCAGGCACGGAGTTACCACTAACCACCAAGAGACAGCCCACTGAATCCCTAGGTCCCAGACTTACTTACTTCTACCCTACCATCTTCATTGTATAGTAGAAACCCTAGTTCCTCATAGCAATCAGGGCCAGTTGATCTTAATAAAAATTTCACAAGGGGTCACTAAGAATGATGGTAAAAGGAACCAATCTATTTCCACCCATCGATCCTTGGAACCACATATTCTAGCTGTTGGAGAATTAGCACTATTTATTCTGTGTATATACTACATGCTAGAGGATACAGTCCAACCATATAGGGTGTTATGCCCAAGTTAGTGACTTAAATTGAGAATTTAATAGGCCATTCCATTATTGCACTAGGCTGGATACCTCTGCATGATAAAGTACATTGTAAGAGCAATCAGTCTCATAGTCATGTGCCCATTGTCACACTACCCTTTGCTATCATATGGATCCCTTAGTCTGAGGCAATGTTGTACGGAATCTGATATCAATAAAGAGGACATTCCATAAATTTTCAGATAGTGGTATTGGCAACAGCACTGAGCTCAAGGAAGGAAAAGCTGTATTCAAACTAGGTGTCAGTTCCAGTAATGGAATTAGGTCTGATGTAATTAACTTGGCACCAAGAAACTGACTAGTCTCCTCAAGGGTGGTGCCTTATGTGTGCCAGTCTGTGCTGCTGGCAGGATGAATATTCAGCCATGGCAGGAGCTATATCAGCCTTGGTGAAAGGGAGTTGATACTACTGTGTCCACATCTAGTCTCTACCCCTGTCACCATGGCCATGCCATTCATGAACATATCACCAAGTACTGGAGTGGCCATGGAAAGAGGCCCACTGACATCCAAAAGACAGGTTATCCTCTCTACTTGGTTGTTGACACTATTGATTCACTGTGGAGGATGCTCATGGCTAGTAACACGAGAATCAATAATCTTCAGTCTTTATGCCTTTTCTTCATAGGCCCATCCGTATGCCCCTTCCCCAAACTTCCTTATAGAGAAAACCTATAAAAATGGTAATTATTAAGCTGGTCATCACTGTGAGCCATTTAGAATGTGTCTAAGAATTGTTTACACAAGGGGCAAAAGAGAACATCTCCATCCACCAGTTTCCATCCTTATTAGTCAAGGGTTATCCCAAAGGGTGTTAATCCCTCTGACTGTCTAGTTTGTGAGTGCTAAACCAGTTCTGGCTGATACCCAGTCAGGTTATCAGAGAAGCTCAGGCTAGAGAGAATAATTCATGGTCCGGCTGAGGCAAGAACTTTGGTTATTCTTGGGCACAGCTGGTTGCTGTAGCAGAAGATGGAATAAAAGGTGGGCTAAAAGTATATGAGGCAAAGAGTAAGAGGTATCTGATACACCTTCAAAGCCTAGGGAAGTAGATTCTAAGAATGTGTTAAATTATGTATTTTAGATAATTAGATAATAAGATATTTAGAAACACGTGCTTATTGTATGGTGCTGCCAGCAAAGGCAAAAGTTGTTAGCACAGGAGATCAGTGTGGACTCAAGCTGGCAGAGAAGGAGCTAGAGACCTGAGGTGTGGCTGACAGGCAATCAGGATTCTGGTGAAGAGTCTCTCCATGTTAAGGAAGATGAATTGTGGCTTCCCTGGAGAGGGCTGGTAGATAGCTGGGAGATACCCACACACAAAAAATAGCCAGACTGCTCAGAGTACAGGGATTCTCTTGGTTCAGAGAAATTTTCTGCCCTGCTGCCTGCTACAAGAGAAACTACCCTCTTTGTAATGTGAACATGCTTTAGAGTGAGACAGATCTGCTGTGAATCCTAGTTTACTGCTTGGGCAAGTTCCTTAACCTCCTCAATCTCATTTCAGTATTTTCATCTGTCATATAGAGTAATAATGGTCCCTACTTTATAGATTTATAATGAGGCTTAAATTAATTAATTTATGTAAAGCACTTAAAACAGTGCATGGCTCATAATAAGCCCTAATAAATATCATCTATCATTATTATTACTATTATTAGGGAAAGTGCAAATAATGGCTCTAATAGCCAAAGGAAACCTAACTAGAACACAATAACAGGATTAGGAAGTATCAGGCATTTTGGAGAGAACAGATAAACCATATTTCTAAGAAAAATAGTTAAGAAAAAATATTCAGTCATGTCTTCTGCAAAAATTGCTCTGAGATATCTGAAGCATCTCTGAGATAGTCACTCAACAGAAATTCCTTTTAGGTTCAAACCAAAGAAATCTAATGAAACAATAGTAGCTCTGTTGACATTATCAGAAAAAGCAGTGGCAGAAAAACTTGATGGTAGACTCATCTCCTTTTGGAATCTATAGCGCATATGGGTAGCTTGGGCCTTTTCTCATTTCTCGAGGGTATGGCTGGATTAGCCACGCAAATGCAATCTGCCTCCACATCAGAGGATATTTCCATGCAGAAAGGGCTGCAGCTGTCACTGACGACCCCCTTGTATCCTGGGAAGGCAATGACTTGCGATGGCCAAGTTTTTTTTTTGAAACAAAGGCTTCTCTTCCTACCTGAGCTACCTACCAAGCTTTCTTTCTACTGATCATGCTTCGTGTAAATAGAACAGAGTCTTGAAGGTGCTGGGCTCTGAATAGGGTTGAAAGAATACCAGAGCATTTGGATGTTGGTTTGACAAGTTATCCAAAATATCATGAAGAGTTTCCTTTTTCGTCTTCTGCCTTCAAGGTACGCTCTCTCCAATGCCGCAGTTCTTTGTGAATCTGCCTTGGCAATTAGCATGAAGACATAAACGACCTTTGGCAATCATTAGCTCCTTAATCATCATCTGCCCTCCTTTATTCTCCAACAGATCCTGACCCACTTCATTTTTGTGTTATAAAAACCTTCCATTATTTTTTAAGTTCACAAAAGGCCTTCTTTAAATTTTTTCTTTTATTATGAAAGTAATACTTGCTTATTAGAAAGAAAATCAGATTAGAATGGTACAAAGTGAAAAGTAAGAGTTTCCCTCCCCACTCTATCAAGAACCACTCTCATCCCACTCCCTACAAGTTCACCATTGACAACAGCAAATTGTGCATCTAGACTTTCAACTGTACCACACCACACACACTCACACATACGTGCCTTGCTGAAACTTATTCATTTTATTGAGCAATATTGAAAGCATCTTTTCATGTGGCCACATAATTAAAAAATTATTTTTAAGAGTGCAGTGCCTTTGGTTGTACAATAAATTATCTAACCAATCCCCTATTAAAGAATATTTATGATGTTTCCAATTTTTTTCTATTACAAACCATGTCAGTATGAACACCTTTATATGTATATCATTGTGTGCTTTTGAAAGTGCATCTCTAGGATAAATTCCCAGAAGTTAATTTTACAGAATTTGAGGATTTGTATACTTGACATTTGGACAGACATGGCTAAATTTGTCTTTAAAATTTGAACCAATTTCCACTCCCATTAGCAGTATATGAGTGTGCCTATTATCTCACTCCCTCCCCAGGGCCCTGGTTCCCTGAGAAGTAGCCTGGGCTTTGAAATCAAGCAAGCCTGTTTCTGAATTGGGCTCTGCCATTCATGAGCTGTGTGGCTTCTCATAAGGCACAGGCCCCTTGGGGTGTCAGTTTTATCACCTATAGCATGGAAAAAAATTAATGTCTTCTGCATAGGTTTGCTGTGATAATTAAGTGAAATAACATGGGGGAAGAACCAAGTACAGTGCCTGCCAAGCAGCAGCCACTCAGCATGAGCCTTTTTTCCTTAACTGTGGCCCCACAATTTGCTATTCCTGTTTCCTTGCTTCCACTCACCGTATCTCCTCTTCTATGGTACCCTTCCTTATTCTCATGGTGAAAATTTTCACAGTGGAGTAACAAAGACACATATGCTGGGGTTTGATTTCATCTGTTTTCCATGCATGTTCAAAAAGTTAATGACACTTCTCTGGGGCTTCATTTCTAGGACTTTGTATATTTTTAGTTACTTGGTTCCAGAACTGATAAGTTAACTACCACATTGCTTTAAATTGTTTTTGCACAAATTCACCAAGCTTAAAAGGTTACAGAGAATTGAGTAATGAAGTAACTCTTGTGGGTTGTAGGGTGACTGAAGTTCCTCCTTCAGAAAAAGACTTCTGAAGAACTTTTCATAGAGGATTATATATAAACTCATAGAGGATTAAGTATAAACTTCTACCTCTCCCACTGCTTGCCCCCAATACCTGTGATCTCATCAAAAATATTGAGAAATAATTGGCAGCTTCTACTCGTTCTCAACGTACATAATGTCAAGTAGTAGAATTCAATTATTGGGTGATGCTCAAAGCTACATTATAGGATATGCATTCACAATTTCTTCTGATTTCTAAGAGCTCCTACCTGAACCATTGAAGATGGAGATCCTAGCATAGTTGATTCTCTACCCAGAAGCACAGCTCCACTTTGACTATTTGATTTTCTTTCTAAGTTCTGGAAAAAGTAAATAGAAGACCAGCCTAACTAGGGCCTTTAACTTTATAGAAAACGGTTGTACCCAGTGAAGAAGCAAGGAAACCAGACCCATTCAAAGATACCTCCTTCTCCATGTGATGTTCATTCTTCACATTCTTCCCCAGTTTCTAGAAATTCAGCTCATACACCTCAGATGGCTTCCCATTGCAGAGAATGAGATGTGATGCTCTCTGCAGCAAGGCTGCTTTAAACCTGCCCAGTGAGAAGGATCTGTGTGAGCTTTGACTGCAAGGAGCCTTTAGTTTTAGCATGAAAAGTCAATAACAGATCGTTTGAATTTATTGTCCACTTCAGTTTGCCCATCTGCTCCAGGAAATTTGATTTAAATACATTTTATCAGAAACCTTCCACAGGCACCAAGTTACCTAGCAACTCCAAGTTCCCTTTAGTGAGTTGTTTCCATCATAAAGAGTGTTCACAACTTGGGGAGGATGTGTTTTTAGACTTCAAAGTTTATGAGGTAAGAATTAAATATTGAAACTGCCATTCTCACTCTGCATGAATGTAGAATCTATTTAAATTACATGGAGTCTTGGGGGCTGTATTTCTAAAGAGAAATTTTTAATTAACCTGCATGACCATAAACTTGAATGAAATAGTTCTGTTTAATTTTCAGGAACCAATCCAAGTGCAGCATTGCTCAACTCCAAGTTAGGATCTTTAACATAATCTAAATCGGTGCTTTGCATTTTATGCTGGCTCTGGAGTGTCAAAAGGACTTACTGTTTCTGGACTTCCGCAAGTATATCCCTCAAGTCCATTAAGAGGATATGGATTCAGACCTAAAGGTTGAGATGGTGGATTGAGTACATGCAGAAATATCACTCTTCTTATATCCATAATCCAAAACAAAAAAGGAAAATCTCTGTGGAATAGAAATGGAAAGGAAAACCCAGTAGTTAGCAAGGACTGAAGCTGCACAGCCCATGGGGAGCCAAGAGTGGATGAGGCTTCCAGGGCTGGAGTCTTAATGCCAGTTTGGGGACTGGGAACAAACATTCCCTGCATGTGGTAGGAAGCTGCAGCTGGACTCCCCACATGAAGCAGGAAGTTTTTAGCCTTCAAAGTTTATGAGGTAAGAATTAAATATTGAAACTGCCATTCTCACTCTGCCTGCTTGTGAACTGGAACAAAAATCACTGCCCATTACCCAAGGGTGCAACCAGAAATGTACTATTTGCTATGAACAACCAAATTATTATTCAAGAGTAAGGATGAAATAATGATATTTTCAGACAGACAAGGACTCTGAAAATTTATAACCCTCAAATTCTCACAGATCCAAATTAGAGTACAACAACATAACTATAATACTACTAATAATTTTTGTGCTTAAAACAAGTTGAAACTAAAATTCTAGATAATCATGTGAGCATTAGTTGGGGCTGGAAAGGTGGGTTGTTTTGAGGAAAGTTGCATTATTCTAAGGTTGTTGTCTTGTTTGGAAAGATAAAAGGATCTAATTTAATTTAGATACTTAAAAAATAATGTAAGTGCATATGTAAAATTTAAAAGGGTATGGATTGCGTTCCTGACTATGGTCCTAAAGGCTGTGACAGCAGCTCACACTAAGGAGACGTAAAATTGAGGAAACATTGAGTAGAGTCATTTTTCCATGAGCAACTGAAAGGTAAAAGTAGGAGACAGAACAGTGACTTCAGACCTACAGAGAAGCTAAATTACCAGCAATATAACATATTTTGAGCCAGTATGAAAAGGTTGAGAGCAAGGCATTGTGGGTTACTGAGATGACACGTTGCTGCTTAGGTCAGAGTGCAACTTGGCATTTTGTAGACTGTCTAAGGCAGCGAACTTTCTGGTTTCAAGACTTTACACTTCAACAAGCTTTTTATGATCTGAAGAGCTTTTGTTTAGGTAGGCTCTATATAGATATTTACCATATTACAAATTGAAACAGAAAAATTTAGAACTTGTAATATAATAGGACACATTCCATTAGATATCAGAGTAATAGTGTCATCTCATATCTTGGAGCCCCTGAAAAACTCTTCTGTTTTGTTTTTTTAGCTTTTTAATTTCAATTTTATTTTTTATTGAAGTATCATTGACATACAATATTAGTTTCAGGTGTACAGCTGTGATTCAGCAATTACATACATTATAAAATGCTCACCACAGTGTTGTTTTCATCCAGCCCATACAAGATTATTACAATATTGAATATCTCTTCTCTAAATATGTGAGAGAATGAGAGAAAAAAGGTAAACATTGATATTTTTGTGCAAATAGTTTTGACCTTGCAGACCCTGCTGAGAAAGTCTGGGATATCTCCAGGGGTCCCCAGATCGTATTTTGAGAACCGCTGTTCTAAGGGATAGAATTCACCGTACATACTTTCAATGTCGACGTGTATGTACCTTTAAGGTCCACTTCCATCTCACCAAGCTCCAGATGTGTTTTTCTGCTCTTGATGTTTTCTGAGCTCACAGAACTCATTGCCAGAAATACACTTGGCATTTATTTGGACCATCTTTGATAGTCTTGTTTTGTTCTATAGTTTGATTTCTTTTTATAGATATGTGCATCTTCTCTCTTCAATTTGATCAGAACTTCTGTAGGGCAAGACACAAATATTGTAGTTCTTTTCCTAAAGGAATTAATATGGGATACTATGACGTCAATAAGAATTAATAGTGATTATAATGGCACTGAATTTATAAAGTTGTAACTAATGGCTACTCCTGCAGTGATTTCAGAAATTATTTTATCATAGATCAAAAGGGATCAAACTGAATCTGGTCCTTCTGTATTACAGATGGTCAATAATGTTTGAGTGCAACCAGTGAAATTATAGAGATTTGGAACTTTGGTTCAGTGTAAGAAAATGCATTTTTAAAAATAATAATAATCCTCTGCATTTGAGGTTTTTTTGGCCCTTAAGGCCTTGTGTTTTGATGGTTGTAGCTTGTATGGAATCTTGGTCATCTTCACCCTCAGCTGTTTTGTCCTGTATTATCTTGCACTGTTGATCATTAGCCATGCCTCCTATATTTGTGTATTTTTTTAAGGACTTGTAAACCCACAAAGTAAAATTTTATATCATGCAAATGTAAATATTTAAGAGCTAAAACTGGGAGAGTGCCACTGGGGAGCAGCTCCTAGAAGGCTATTACGGCAGCATAGTACAGTGATTAAGAAGAGCTTGAACTTTGTGTCAGACCTGCTTAACTTCTCAGAGCCTAAGTTGCTTCCTCTGTAAAATGGGAATGATAATACCTCATAGACTGTTGTGTCTTTAAGCTGCTTAACTTAGTGCTGGCACATGGCAAACTCCTGTTCAGCCTCATAGACACCATTATCACGCTCTGCACAGATTCTGCCCAGGCTCTTACTTACCACAATACCCTGTACACAATAAATGCTCAACAAATGCTAACTCTTAGTAGAAATAATAACAATGGGGTAGTGGTAGCATTAGTAGGTACAGTAGCAATAGTTGAAGCTGAATCAGGACTTAAAACACACATCCTGACTCCTAGACCGGTTCTTTTTCCAAACCTGCCGATAGGAGTTTTATGCTTGTCCTTATCTTGCGTTGTGGTGATAAGATGTGTGGCTCAAGACTTACAGTGACCCTCCTTTTTAAAAGCAAGATCAGATGAAAACCCTGAAATTTTAGAAGGAAGATTTGACTTCTTTGGCTTTTGCCCCTTTTCTCTGAGAAGGATATTGTAAGGATGTTGTGAAAACAGTAGGGAGGCTCAGAAATCCTGTTTATCCAGAACAAAACCAGTTTATGCCAATTTGGGGAGTTAATTATTAATAGCCCCCTTTTCACTCTCAAAACCCTCATAGTTCAGATGACAAACCATATGGTCACTCTAAACTGTAGTAATTTAAACTTAAACCATATTGCACAGACTCCAAACAAATTATATTCAATTAGTATTTTTTAAAAAAGCAACTTTTAAGTGATTGTGTGTCACTCTCCTGGGTATAGATAAATAGCCCATCAAAATTGTCCATGCGGGACCATTTGCAAAGAATTTCCTCATTTCCCTGAGTAT